GTATCGCTACGCATACGCATCGACCGATGCGATTATTACCGGCGATTTCGCAGATCGAAGGCAAGGCGCAATGATTCCGTAAGTCGAAACTCACCGGCGATTTTCCTTCCTCTCGCGCTCGATGGGATGATTTACGAGCGTATAATTTATCCCACATTATGCTGGGCCGCGAGAGAGAACCGCTGATCGTACATACCACGGGGCTATGAAACTCCGCGCGCACGGTAAACATATGGTAATCAGGCGATTTGACTCATCAAGGCTCGGCTTTGTAAATGGCACGGATGTCCTCCGTAATTTATGTGATGCACGGCGTGTAAGTGCGACCGGCGGAGAACAAGCGAGCGCTCACCTCGACGCACTATCATTAAATTCAATGCGAGCACGAGTTGCGTATCTCTACCTGCCTGTCTGCATGCACATATATGTGTTCCAGAATAATCCTCATTCCCCGACTATGCAGCCAAGTTACGAGGCGAGTTGAAAATTCAAGTGTTCTCCAATTTTTTAGAATTGTACGTAATAATTGGTATCTAATAATAAAATTGGTAATAAAAAATGAAACTAATTGTGAAAGAAGCGCGTGGAACATTTTGTTCACGAAAAATATAAAAGTTTACTTAATCTTTGCGTAACAATAATATGTTCTATTTTATATTATATAATAGAATTGCATGAATCGAGGAAAATTTTAAAAGTAAAAGAACATTTAAGGAATAAAAGCTTTTAAAAAAAGTTTCTTTACATTTGGACTTTTCCTCGTATATTTTTGGTTTATGATACACTATTAATTAATATACTTGTGCTAACACTTGATTTGAAGATTTGTACGGATTAAAACACGCGAATATTCTATTTAAGAATAGTATATATTTACGACAAAACGATAATGTATATGTATTCATAATTTATTATGAATAAATATTTAATAAAACATTTTTTAAATTTGTTACTTGAGAATATAAAAAATTTTTCAGATAATCTTGAGAAACGAGGATATATTATTTGTGCGGTTCGCAACATACAAAATCCATTAAATTGCGAAACCCCGCAGTGAGGCTGCAGTGAGCCATCGCGTCAGCAATGAATATATTATGAATATAAACTCATCATTAGTCATGTTAATAAAGTAATTATTTTTATTGATAGCTGGTAATAACATAAATTAGCTCCATGTGTGCGAGATAATTGAAGCTTTATAAATATGTGAAAACTTAGGGAGCGGGCGATATTAATATTAATGTTATGATAATAAGTATTAAACGACATAAAATGTCTTTTTGAGTCATTATTTATAGCTGTAAATCGAAATCGTCATATAGTGATGTTAAAATTTTAATGTTACAACATGTGTGCACAATTTATTTGGCATTTATATTTTATTATACAATAGCATTGTATAATTAAATATAAAAATTATGCTAACAAGATTGACGAACACTATTATCCAACTCTATTAGGTTTACATTTTGCATTATAATTTCTTTTGGTCAATATTAGCCTTATTTTTTAAAAATTATATTGAATAATATTAAGACAAACCAAAATTTCTTAAAAGATTGCAAAGAGTTCACAAATACAATAAAAATAAATTCACCGCGTAACAAGATAAAAAAAATTTTTGTATTACATTTAACGTTTCTATGTTTAATAAATACTGACATTTTATTAAATAAATATTTGTTTCAAATAAATTGTAAATACATATATGTGCATACCATTTGATGGCAAAGTAAAATACAGATAGAAATATATTAATATTCTCTATAAATATTTATGGCAGAAATAATTGTGGAAAAAAACTGCAATCACTTTAAACTAAAAAACTTATTTTTTGCACATAACATAAAGTGTACCTTTCATCGATCACGACCACATCTTTTATCGATGCTTGGACTATCAGAGAGTAGTCGTTTCGTTACCGTAGTCGGTGTTGTCGTGAATCGCTTACCAACTACTGTTCAATACTATTTGCATCCATTTTACAATTAGAATTATATAGTCACATTCAATTTGTTAGTAAACAATACTGATTATATGTCCGTAGTAAACATAAATTATAAATCAGAAATATGCGTAAATTTAATTATATCATGAAATACAATACAATCTCATAACTATAAAATAAACGTAAATATTTTGTCATCGATATATATATATATATATATATAAATAAATAGACTAGAACAGATTAAAATAAAATTGATGCACTAAAATAAATATAATTAGTAATCGTTTGCGAATCGTAATTGCGAATGCACCTTTCGATTATATAAATTAGTTGGATAATGCTGTGAGAAATACTTTTCCAACTTCAAAGTTTACGCTTGTGTCATATGCATTTTAAAAAATTCTGTAAATATCGCTTTTCTGTACCAATTCATATAATAATTAATCTTGCAAAAAATTATGCAAATTAATATTCCAAATTGTTGCATGCGTTAAAATTTTGCCTTTTAAATAAATATTTAATAAGAAAATTATATAATTTCCAAAAAATAATTTTTCTACATATATTGCGGAGATAAATAATTAATATATTCTGTAAATAGCAGGTAATAAATATATATAAATAAATGATAGATTACTCACGTTAAAGTTGCCTGATGTTCCCCAGATCTGCTTCTCTCATTGATGGACCATCGATGGCTTCTTATAACACACACGAAAATACGGTAGATTACAATCACGCATTTTGCTGCATGGCATATCAGGCGCGTACTCCGTCACACAAAGAAGTAATTCCGGAAACACGATCGCACCATGTTACGATTCGTACAAGACCTGCGGTATTCGAAGCAAGCAACATTGCAGGTGGCAAAGGAAAAATTGCGCAATCAACTTGGCGCGTCACCCGCTGCGGCTATGCTATGTTTCAGCTACTTTCGTACGCTCTCTGCTTTTTATACATGAAAAATATGTGTTTATTATTGCGATTTGAGATAACACGATTTCAGTTTCTAATAATGCGATAATGCGATAGAATGATTTCCCTTGTCACCTGCCTGCTCCAATGTCGTTGTGCGTATGATCATGAGGTGATTGGCGCGCAGACAACCGCGCGCATACGCCGTGACGTCGTAGATACAGAAAAAACCAAAACATTGTGGATGCACGTATGTCGCAAGTAACATCCAAACATTTTGAATAGTGGGATGTTTGTAATGTCGTACGCTGTATGGTGATTGTTTTGTTTGTTCTATGTGCTACGTCACGGCGTACGTGGCGTACACGAGCTGTTGTCCGCGCGCTATCACCTCGTTAGCATATGCACGACGATACTGAACGATATTGGAGCAGGCAGGTCGCAAAGAAAATGGCTCCGCATTGTTACAAATTTAAAATCGTGTTATCTTAAATCGTAATAGTAAGCACATGTTACTTTTCATGCGCGTACGAAAGTAGTTCAAACATAGCACGGTCACGGCGTGTGACGCACAAAGTATATCGCGTAATTTACCCTCTGCCACACTGTTGCCTGCTCCGAACGCGAAAAGTCTCGAATCGTAACTCGTGCGCTAGCGTTTCTCGAGAGAGTTACTTCTTTGTCATTATGCGACGAAGCGTACGTCCGATTCGTCGTGCAAAGTGTCACGTGATTGTAATCGACCGTATTTTCGCGTATTTTCGCGTGTGTCATGAGAAGCAGTCATCGATGGACTATCAATGAGACGAGGATGTCCGGGGGACATCATGCATCGGCGGAGCAACTATAACGTGAGTAATCTATCACTTATTTATTTATTATCTGCTATTAACAGAATGTATTATTTATCTCCGCAATATGTATGTAGAAAGAAATGTGATTTTTTATTAATCAATGCACACGTTAATTATTTTGTACGCAATTATAATATAGATATACTTTTGTATTTTACAGATTAGTACTAATTCCGCTGTTGCGCATCATGTATCGGTGAGTAGTTAATTATCTTTATTTTAATTTTGGTGAATAATGGATCTGAAAGATTAAATATATATAATCGATTTAAAAGAATAAAAATGTTTGAAAAGTTTATAATATTATAAACAAATATAACATTTCATAGATGCATTCACCTTAAAATTGATTGACTAGAATAGATTAACTGAAATATAATATTTAAGAACTTAAAATAAATCTGAAATAAATTTGAATTTTTCAAAATATATATGACACAAACATAAATTAAAGTTAGATACGAAATATTTCACGCAGCATATTTCAACTACCAATTTATAATTAAAAAAATGTATTTGCTGTTAATAATTATTAATTGAATATATTTTTGCAATGTGTGATAATTATTGCAATCTTTTCTGATCTATCTATCCATATAGTATATCAATAACAAAATATCTGAATCTATTTCTGAGTTAGAACTGTATTGTATTATGTAATTAAAAGCATTAGTACATGTTCTGATATTACATTTCGTAAATGTAACACGGACATGCACCAAACAATATTACTGTTTATCGAGAAATCGAAAAATCAGTACGGCTATGTAGTTCTAACAACAAAATGGATTGTAGATAGTAGTACTGAACAGAGGGGTCGGTATACATTCCTCTGAAACGCCGGGGATGATCAGTTTGCGTATGTAGTTATGTACGGCTGTGTACCTACCGTCGTATCAGCAGTAGATATAGAATCAATTTAATTGGAAAGCGAAATTCTAAACGGAGAAGCAACTACTAATTAAGATAAAAAGAATGTCGACCAATGATCACACTAACAATTTACTTCGAAAATTCTGGATAAATAGTTTTATATTTTCACGGTAGATTTAGCTGCACATTAAAATTAAATTTAGAGCGCAAATATGTGCGAGATTAAAATTTGCATTTTTATCTCACTGCAATATGTAGTAACAAAAAACATAAAGTTTAATAATTTAATCTTTGTACAATATTTATTTTGACTTTGTTTCATTGAATATCATATAATATTTAATTATGCAGTTCTTTTTCTTCAATATTTAGCGTGATTCGGCAACGTAATAAATAAATTCACTCACCGGCCGTTGTTATCTGGTTAAGTATGCTTTTAGCTACATCTGGAAAACATAATGTATACTTTGATTATTATGGTATTTCACAGATTTTATATATGTTGATTATTACGAATTATTTAATTATTTCCACTTTAATTCAAATCCAATTTTATGCAATTAATTACATCAATGATACTTAACAATTTTTAATAAATATTCGATAAAATGTTTTAATAAATATTTCATTAAATATTGTCAAGCAATTTAGTAAGCATTTAATAAACACAAATTGTAATCGGTATATGTGTGTTATCATAATTATATATATATTGAAATAATTGTATCTAAAGTATTGCAATTTGTTTCACTCACTGCAGATTCTGTCTTAATTAGATATCACATTTACGGTGTAATTTATTTTATAAATTATAAATTATATATAACACATTATATATAAATATTATATTATATATCCCCGTATATATATAACACATTTGCGCGTGATGCGCAGTTGGTATAGAAATAAAATAAAGATTTTGGAAATTGCAACGCTCGATATATGATACAAAGTTACAAATTGTGATAGCACATTGTTACTTTTCATTAAGAAGAAAAATTAAAAGTGCGCGAAAGCTACTGTTAACGATCAGGGAGGATAAAACCGCGTGTCATTTTCAATTACTATCAATTGCCATTCCGCAATGAAGTATAGAGAAACTTTCTCGCCGGATTGTCGAATAAACGTTGCTATTTCATTTATTTCGCTCGCCCGTTAGAGAGTTACGGTTCACTCCAGTAATTACTACGGATACACCATTATATAAGAGCGAAAAAAGGGGATCGGACAGGTGGGGCGGGGGTGGACAGCGCGCATTTCAATTTGTTGCACAATTTTCTAGAGATGGATGGGGAGGGCGACTCGCTCCCGTTTTCGTGAAGCGAGATTACAGTCGCATACGATTTAATCGTGTGTCCGTGCGCGGCCGCGACCGTTAATGCTACAAATTACGTTTTATCGAATTTCGACAGGGACGAGTTTGACGGGAAAGAAGGTCCTTCAAACGTAGAATTGAGCAGCGAATTACCGCGAATTTAATTGCGCCACATTGTCGTATGGCTTGCGTTACAAAAAAATAAAGCAAAATTGACCTGTTAAATTATTAAGTTGCCAAGTCGGAGAATTATTGCATTCAGAGATTTGAGCGTGGCATAAATGGTTAAGAAAAAATGCGCGCAATTAAAGTTGAAATATTATATTAGCAATGTGTATAAATATACGTTCTTTTATGCGCACTCATTTGAACTGGCGCAAAGAGATGGGCTGCGACTGATTAAATATTATTCAGAAACATTAAAAATTTACAGGCGATTAAGCTCTGATTAACGTGCATAATTTAAATCGACCGTAGTGAAAAGAGTTCCAAATGCGCTTGCTGTAAATCGTGTATGAATACGTTTCAATCCAGATATTGTGGGCGCACATACTCCTTTTCATTTCTCAGTCAAATATCGCGTCCGCGGCATAACTGTTTCCTATAAGATTGCTTGGCTTCGGAAAATGATGACCGTAATAGACTAGATATGTGCGCAACTCCTTTAAAGAAATATTTCGATCGACAATCTCGCTATTGCGGAAACTGCGGGACTGCATTTTCCGCCATCCGACTGAGAGTTCTGTCAAATGTCTTCTACCGATCAAATCGATAGCAACGACGAGGTAACAAATCAAAAATATGAGGACATGGGGAAAACTTTCCACGTCACTCACGAGTAGCCATGTGTGTGCTCAGCTCTTTACATATTATTCTGCACATAAGCATGTGTGAGAGTAGGGTAAAAAAGTAAAGAAATATTTTTAACCGATTGACAATCCAAAACATTCATCCTTTTAAAGTTAAAAAAAAAAATATATATTTTTAATTAATTTAAAAATTTTAAAAATTCCTTTACTTTTCGACTTTCTTTTGTACATATTATTCCGTGATCAACACGAATAATAAAATGTAAGACAAATATTTTTAGAAATTTCCATGTTAAAAATATATTAACAAAATTGAATATAAATACTATATATATTAATTCGATGAGATGGAAATCAATTAGCTGTGCAAATTAGGCATTTTTCCATTTTATTAAATGTATACAGTTTGTTCCGTTTATCTTAAACAAACTTTAGCAGAAATTTTGCAATTATGTTTCGCCAGTTCACGCTTAACGATTATTTGATATATTACCTATTACATGAAACATTCCTAAAATTTTAAATCTCTTTTACTGCAATTTTTTCTGCAGTCAAAAATGCATTGTTTCAAAAAATACATATGTTTAATTATAACTTTTTTATTGGCGCGAGCTTTTCATTTTTCCGTTTTATTCTCTTTTCATTATAACTTCATACACCTTTCACATGTGTAAGCTTTTATATTGGAGCAATAATATTAGGTCGTCCATATTTGTTCTCATCTGGTACAAAAATAGGTACAGATAATTTTTAATATCGCGAAATTAGCAGAATTTTTTCTCCTCTAGAATGACATAAATGTTGCATACAGGTGCCGCAATGAAATTGCGTTCGAGCGAGCGAGAATGCTCTGTCGTGTGGCATTTTTATGCTAGCTTGTTCCGATCTGCTGTACGACAGTATCAGCGAGTTGCGTGAGAAATCGAACGGACGTATTCTCGCTCGATTTCCCATTATTACTTTACATGCGACGGACGAGGGAAGTAGGACCGTCCGTAAGGAGAGCCTGTCGAAAGCCGAAAGCATTTTTCCGACGTCTTACGCCTCGAAAAGTTTCCCATCTGTATTTGTCCCGCTATAAATCGCCGACGGCTGCCGCAGCTGTATCTCGCTCACGTTTTACTTTGAGTAATGTCTTACCGACGTATTCCGGTCGCATGTAAGAGGAAGGAACGGATCAGGAATCAATTGTGATCATAAACCTGGGCATGCAAGCACACGTTCTACTCGGGCCGCTGAAATAAGGCGTCCAATGATGTATCTAATAAAAATCGCGTGCGCGGAGGCAATTCGCGCAAATAGCGCGATCTCACACCGTGGAGAAAGGATAGTTCGCATCATCACCACGCTTCTGTATTTAATTCCTTCCTTTCGAGTTTTATTCGTCGACATGAAGAACGCATTCAATATATTCATGAGACGAGCTTTAGACAGCCATATATTTAGCGCGGTAACGGTGGAGGCTAATATCGATGATTTCCAAGCTTAAGAACATCCCACATTATTTATTGGCTTCGGGGCTTCAATAAGGATCAAGTCGTATATAAGTTAAAAATATCGGCTTTTACAAATAGATAAAAGACAATGAACGATGAATCTTTTCGGAAAATTCGATCCAAGTATTTTTTAAGAATATTTGCGAATTCAAGCTAATATTGATTAAACTTTTCCGTTATTCTGCAGCGAGCTGGAAAACAACTGATCGCGATTAAAATCGTTTACAAAATAATACGATTTGAAAAAGGTAAATAAAAAGTTTAGGGAGAAATAGAAAATTATCTGTTAGAATCGATATGACTGTTATCGCGCGTTGTCGTCTAAATACGGAAATTGGGATGCTTCGAGTGGTACGCGCATCTCATCCTGAAAGTCGCTGACACACTCCTTCAGTTGCGATAGGGTCGAACTGTCGTCTTCTAGCGCCGGGCGAACGAAGGTGTATTCCCATTTGAGCTGCTTGGGGCGAGTCCATGCTCTGGCTTACGTCTATCTGTTGAGATTTCCTGAGGTACGTGATCAGAGTACGGATAGTACTGTCCGTGGCAAACGCCAGGACATATTCCGGTGCAAGTTTGCGCGCGCTCTTGCAAAACTGTATAGGGCGATCGTCTCGATTCTAATACGATCGAACGAAGTGATTTTCTTTATATCATTTGAGAGAAACAGAAGTTTTTTGGAAGGAAGATAGTGCTGCGCTTCAGCAGAGGATTTCTTCCGGAAGCGATGGATCATGTGGAACGAACGGAGTTACACATGCATTTATCGGAGAAATGTTAAATTAAAAAAAGATAGCCTCGAGCAACGTCAAACTAATGATAAAAACAGAGAAAAGAGAGATATATTTTTTACATATTATATTATTTTATCTGCCCCTTATTAAAAATGATTTTTTGCCGAATATGATCTTTGTGTAAAAAGTTATATCGCGTGTAATTGTGAAAACTACATCTAAAATTTCTTCCTTATTTATGTTGTATAGTATAACTTTCTCTTCCAAAATTTTCTTCCTAGTTTGTAGAAAGCGTCCCTGTTAACTTTGTAACTGTTGAAGTAGTCATATATAATTTAATTATAGCTGCAGCGGATTCTAGTTTGCTGTTAGGTCAGAAGTGGCCTGTAATTAATTCGGGCAGCCGAAAGCTGGGACGCGCGCTTGTGAACAACTCGTGACCTGCTGCCGTCAGCTTTCACGAGTCTAGAAAAGCATCTTTCTCCTTTTTTATGATACGGATATTTCATACTATCTGCTTTTTTTATGTCGCAAAATGAAACAAATTGCTCCTTACTTTTAAGGCCTTCTATTTTCTACGATTGCAATTTAAATATATTATTTAAAATTATTATGCAATGAAATATCATAGACTTTATTAAATTCCATACCTGCTTTGATCAATTCATTTAATTAAAACAAATTCTGACGACATATACATACTAAATAAAAGTTTATTTCTTAGTCCAAACTTTTATCCTACCATCGTAGTTTTATTAATTCCATTATTTGTACGATTTTTTCTCCAATGATTATTCTTTTCAACGAAGACCAAGCAATCGTAGTCGCGGATGAAAGGCGAAAAAAAACCAATATTGCGCCGCCGGCAGTAAATTTGCTAAATATTTATCGCGACCGTGCACGATGCGCGCATGACTACGCATGTATTTCGATCAAAAATTCATGAAGTACGGCACAGTATATTTGCCTTTACAATTCGTGTGTGGAAACAGCCAAACGTGTTTAGCGTTTTTGATTCAAGAAAGGATTCATTCGGATAGCAATTTCCAATAATGGATTCCCCGTAAGAATATCAAATCAATTAGATAGGAA